AGGAATCATGTTTTAACGTATTGGTTGTGATTCTTGGTTTAATTCCGTTAATTAAATACGTGGTATTATCGTTATGTGTTTGAATGTGTTTGGACATGGTTTCGGGTTCCACAGGGGATCCCGAGACCATAAAGTTGCTTGTCTATCAGTGGGGGGTAGGTGGGGGTACTGACCACCCGCCACTTACTCGTTGCCCGCATTTACTGTTCTAGCGGGCAGCCACCGGCGGCGGCGCCGCCGGCGGGTGGTTGGCGGGTAGTCCTCCACCCGCCACTTACCCGCTAGAATCTTGGCGTGGTTCGTGGTGTTTTTCCCCTTGTCTCGTTGTGTCCCGTTGTTCCTCGTTTGTCGTGTATGAGACTCATTTGGTGTTTTAGGCATCATTCTAGGATTCTATGTGTGATAAGTGTCGTTGTTGTTGTGTCTTGCTTGTTATGTGATTATGTGTTCATTGATTGATGATGATGAGTATCGTGGTCGTTGTGCAATGGCCAGTGTAACTAATGATGATGATTATAATGATATTGATGAGATTGTGATTGTTGGAAAATAAACTATTGGTGGTTTGCACCACTTGTGCCCGATCATTGTACTAAACGTACAGACCATAGCAATGACTTTGCTAAAGGAACACACCCACCTTCGACTAGGTTGCCGTTGAGTATTGGGTCAGGTTATAAGTGCTGCGGTGTCATATTAGAGCTATATGCGCTAACAACTTGATATTGGCACTAGAGGTGCGGATCAATGAATGGCATTGCGGCACCATCTTGATATGTTGGTGGTTGAAAGGTGGGTTCGTCGGTGGGGGCATGTAGTTGCCCGGAGGCATAAGGGGTGGGGATATAAGGGTGGCCTGGAGGTATAGGTTGGAACTGATATAAGGACGAAGGGGAGTTATACGGTTGGAACTTGGTATAAGGTTGGAGGATGGATTGTGTGCTTTGTTGACTACTTGCTAATTGATTGTATTAAATGCCTTAGTTATTTGCATGCTTATCTGCATGTTATGTCTTGCATTCCATGGTTAGGATGTTTATTAGTTCTTATGGTTATCCTGTGATATTGAGTCTGTTATATGCCTTGAGTCTTGATCCTGGATTTAAACTAGAGTCTCGTAAGTATATATATATATTCCAGTTTCAAAATGAGTTTCTTATATCTACCTATATTGTACTTAACACGTTGGAGTGGGTTACCAGCATTATTCGCTGACGGTTGTTATACCGAATGTTTTTTAGGTGACGAGCATTAGCTTCGGAGCGCGCTAGTCAGAGCCTTGGACATAGCTTAGTTAGTCTTAGCTCAGTAGTTGGCTTGCCTGCCTTGGGATTGTATTTAATATCGATTTGAGGATTTCTTATGCTTGGTTAGTTTAGCCTCTGCACTTAGGTTATCAAACCTAGGTGTGGCATAGCACCCCGATACTTACGGATAATTGTATGCCCTGTTTGGGATTTAATCAATGGATTCACCTATATTTTATAAGTTTTAAATACCTTGAAATTTAGGGGTGTTACACGGTAGATGCTACTATGTCATAATATGGAGTCATTGATGAAATCTGGGAACTTGATTATAAGGTCTTTAGCATTCCCTATTCTGATGTTCTTGGATTGATAACAGACAGGGTGTCCGTGTAGATGATTTGTGTAACACCCCGTGTTACGACCCCTAAAACCAATTAATCATTTAACCAATTATCCAAAGAAAGAATTTAATTACAATAATTAATTAGGAAAAAGGCCCACCATGGTCCGTGGGCCCTAACCCCTAAAAACCCAACCCCTAGCCCTAAAAGGAATAGAATTAGCAAGCCTATAATATTAGTTCCTAAATAGGACTCCTAAATATATAAATAGGGGACTTAAGAGGCACCTAGAACCCCCCACCACTATAATCCCTCACCACACAAGAAGTTCCAAGAATTCCCATAGGAGAAATCAAGAAAGAAGAAAGCTTCCAGAAAGACCCTTCATAGCCAAGGAATTAATTAAGGCTAAAAGGTAACCCATGTCTCAACAAAACCTATTTTCATAGCTATGATTTCCCCTCTTAGGATTTCCCCCATATTCTTGTGTGTTGATGATTCGTTATAATGATCTTGATAATTGGTGCTATGATTACATGGGTAATCTTGATGATAAGAGGTTCTTGATGATTATATGGTGTTCTTGATGATTATATGATGTTCTTGATGTTTATATGATATTCCTACCGAATCGTGATATTAGAAGATGAATTGTGTTCTTGTTGATTTAAAAATAATTAGAACCCTAGGTTATATCGTGGAATTCGTATGGCATTATTCTTGGTAGATTGGGTGGGAATTTGTATGTTTGGGTGTTGTTTATGTTTAGAAAAGCATGATAGGTTATGTGCCGTATGTTTCTTGATTTTGATCCGTTAATTGTCTACGTCTGTTATCAATTGCGTTTGAAAGTGTCTAAGCATGGTTTCGGGTTCCACAAAGGTTCCCAGGGCGTTTTTGGTGAAAATGAGTCAGTTGGGGGGGGGGGGGGTAGGTGGGGGTAGGGGACCCGCCACCTACCCGCGGCCTATTTGGGCAACGCCGGCAGCGGGCAGCCGGCGTGTGAACCCTCACCCACCGGCTACCCGCTGGAAAATACCCTACCTCGGGTTTCCGGCTTCCCCGTTTGATGTTCCCCCGACCCCCGTGGTGTCCTAACGGACTCCGCCTATCGTGCCTATGTCTAGTTTGATATTTCGGGTACCGTTCGTAGGTTGTATGAGTCTTATATATTGCATGCTAGTTGAATTGGTATCCCGTTGACCTAGGTGAAAGAAGTATGAACCCCTTAGGATTATTGTTAATATGTGAAGGATCACGCATAGGTTTTGTTATACGTTTTCTCCCCCTTCCCAATGTGTTAATGTGGGTTGCATGTGCTTGCTATGTGTTATGTGTGCATGATACCCCAATTTGGTTGTGATCAAATTGGTTATACGGGCAGTTGGATGGGTTGAGAACCATACTGATTGTTAACCAGGCCGGTTGCGATCGGTCAGGTGTATAAATATTATATAGGGTTGCGGTCCACCGTTTGGTTGCGATCAAACATTTCTACATGAGCCGCGGTTCATATTTCCTGGCTGCGGTCAGATGACATACTCTTGGGCTGCGGTCAACTGTTTGGTTGCGATCAAACTATGATGAGCTGCGGTTCATCGGTCGGTTGCGATCGACCCCTCCGCGTTGCGATACGGGGCAGGGTGCTGCGGGGCCGTGTCAGAGCTATATGCGCTGACCCTCATGTATGGGCATGCGCTTGGTCCTGTGGCGCCAACAAAGTGTGCTTTGTGATGAGATATGGATGAGTTGTTGTTATGAGTGTCTCGTGAGGTGACTTTGGGATTTGTGCCAGGAATCGTGTATGTGGGGTTATGGATATTAACTGTGCTTATCTTTATCTGCCTTGCCTGTTTCCCTATGCTTGTGAATTGTTTATGCTTGATTAGGTCCATTGGCTGCGCTAAGCCCTATCTGATGAGTCTATTCCCTGTTTTGAAAGCTAGAGTCTCTTAGGATATATCTTCATGCTTCGAAATGGTTTTTCGTATAACTATGTATATATCTATATGTATTGTATTTCAACGCGTTGGAGTGGGTTACCAGCATCTCTCACTGAACAGATATATTTGGCTTTCAGGCACAGAAGAGTAGACACTGGAGCGCGCTAGAACCGTGGAGCATAGAAGTAGATAGTTTCCCTTTCGGCCTGCGTGCCACGGTTATGCATTTACTTTGTTGAGGATATTAGTTAGTTAGCCTGTGCACCTGAGTTCTCTAGCTCAGGTGTGGCATAGCACCCCGTACTCTTTATATTATGTTTTGGGATTTAATGAGATTTTACCTTCTTTATATAAGTTTTAAAAGTTTCGAAAATCTAGGGTGTTACAATTTGGGTTTTACCTTAGTTGATTTTGGTCGGCTAGGATATCATGATGAACCGTTTATACTTACTTGCATCTCAAGCTAAACAAGTCTTCTATGTTTCTGATCATATTGATAGTAAGTGGTCAATTGTCTTACAAGGTAAAAGAAGTATTGTTGGTGTTGGTGATGTTGTGGATGAAGAGGAATATGACCAATTTGATAAAACCCCACCATTTTCTATTGGTATTCAACCTATGGCTTTACGTGAAGATAACATTGATACTAATTACATGCGTACTGATCATGAAGAAGGGTTGTGGATTGACCATCCGACAGTATAATTTCTAAAATGTAATCTTATTCTTTTTTATAACATGTTTATATTTTATAAGATGTTCTTCATAACATAGTTATCTTATGCATGTGCAGGTATATATATATACAAATTCATGGCCGATGGTCACACAGATTCGATGGTAGAGGAGTCTTCAAAGCAAATAGGGAGCAAATTGCGTAAAGCAAGAGGAGCTACAAGTTGCAGTAAAATGAAAAAGAAGAAACCAGACGATGAGTCTATGTTAATTGAGTTCGATGAGATGCACAGGCCTATTGGCCCAAATGCAAGGAAGTACGCAAATTACCTTAGCCTTATGGTTCATATTCACGTAGACATTAACATTGATGAATGGCGTCAAGTCTCCAGCGGGGTTAAAGATGCGGTTTGGCATGAACTTAAGGTAATAGTCAATAATTTAATTTATATATATGTTAATGTCAATAAAGGTCTAATTATTTGTTATTTTATTATTGTTATTTAGAAAGAGTTTAATATCTCTGATAAAGAAAGAAATAATATTTTGGACCATGCGCGGATACGTTAGAAAGATTTCAAGTCAAGATTGGTGCGTGAATTCATCAACAAAAAGAACCCAAAATATAGCTCTCCCTGTGAGTTATATGACTTCTTGAATGAAGAACAATGGGAAAATTTGTAAAAAATCATGAAACTGAAGCCTCCAAGGTATACTACATAATTTACTTGCTTAATAATCATGTTTTATTGACGTGGACTTAATGTTTTATTATTATTAACCTATTATAGGCCAAAAGTCAAAAGTATAGGGAGTTGCAAGCGCGAAATGAGCATCCCCACTATTTAGGGTCTAGGGGCTATGTTGGAAAGCAATCTGAGTGGTTGATATCCGACCCATTGTCTTCACAATATTCTTGTGTTGCTATTACCTTGACCATAGCATCTACTAACCGTAGTTTGGATTGGGTTCGAGCGCGATCTAAAATAATCTGAAGATGGAAGTTATTACATTCCCAAAGAAAAAACGAAGGGAGTGTTTTGATAAAATTGTAAGTAATTATCCAATAGGTGAACCCAAATCCCTAGTCTTCTCTCAATTGAAATTTTCTTTTCATTAAGTTCATAAATATTATTTTTAATCACATTAATTATATTTATTTGAGATTTTCCTTATCAACAATTTGATTATTAAAGATAACAGTTAATAGTGTTCTTCGTGGGATCGACCCTGGAATACTCCAGGAATTTATACTGTTTAATAAAGTGTCCCCGGCAACGGCGCCAAAAACTTGATTGCTATGATCTGCAAGCGCACAGAGTCAATCACAGTATAAATTCCTGGAGTATTCCAGGGTCGATCCCACGAAGAACACTATTAACTGTTATCTTTAATAATCAAATTGTTGATAAGGAAAATCTCAAATAAATATAATTAATGTGATTAAAAATAATATTTATGAACTTAATGAAAAGAAAATTCCAATTGAGAGAAGACTAGGGATTTGGGTTCACCTATTGGATAATTAACTAACTCTTCTAAGTATTAATTCTTATGACTATAGTGGTGATTGCTTCAAATATATCCTAATACTCCGTCGAGCTACTAGGTTGTATCCAATTAACTGTGATCATCCGTCGATATCTCACCAACATTAATTAAACCCATTAAGCAACAATCAAATATCACCACAAATACCTAAAGCTATGTCTAGTTTAGGTCAATTGTGTTTATCTTACGAGTTCTTGGTTCATAATTCACCTGTCAGTTCTTCTTATGAACCCTAATATTAGAATTATGCAATGGCCAGTCACACAATCCACAATTAAAATACATAAAATAAATATAATCAAGTTCAATTATTAAATTGAAATTGGAAGATTCAACACATGAAAAATAGTTAATTAATCTAATCTAGGCTAATCCAAATCCCTAATTAAAGTTCTAGCAAATAATCATATTTGAATGTTCAAGAAATAGCATTCTGAAAATTTTAACAAGAAATAAAATAGAGAAGAAGAATAATTCAAGCCTAAGAAGATGATAGCTGAAGCTCCGCTGCCGACGTTGTCGCTGCTCTCTTCTTCCGCTCTATTATGCCGTCTCGTCTCTGCCGTACGAATTGCCGAATAATAAAACTAAAGCCATTCCTCTTCTTTTCTTTTCCTTCTCTACTGCTGCGCACTTCTTAAGTAAAAAACAAAAACAAATTAAATTAAAGTCAAGTAATTATAACCTAATGACGCACTTAATAAAACTTAACTATTAAAACACTTATTTACAAATTGAAGATATAAAGCTACCAAATAAATTTAGTCTTATAGTTAAAATAAAACTCTTATTTATATTAATAAAAATGCAACATTAGACTAATATTTATTAAAACCCATCTAAACTAATATAAACTAGTAACATATAACTAAATATAATATTTATAATATAATTAACCCTCAAACTTAATTTATTTAGGCAACTCACTAACTAAAATTAATCTAAATAATGCCTAGAAATTACACTTATCAGTAAGTAATACAAATAGTTTAAATATATATATATATATTATTGACGAGAATGCTAGCTAAAATGTAAATTTTAAATCTTGTTTGTGTTGAAATAGGTCGAGAAGTGTGAAGAGATAAGTCAAGGCTCATTCCAACCAAAAAGGCAAAATGATATATTGACATCAGCTCTTGGCACCAATGAGTACGGTGGCTATGTGAGAGGTGTTGGAGTGCACTCCAATATTCGGGATGTGTTTGGTAAACCGGAAAGCATAAGTCGTGGAAATTCAGCTGGGGTTGTTTCAGTTAGTGATATGGAGAAGATCATAGAGAAGAAAATATATGACAAAGTGGCTGAAAAGATTAGAAAAGAAACAATGGAAGATATGCAATCCAAGTTTGAAATGATGCAATCTCAGCTAGAATATTTGATAAAGAATGCACAAGCAAGTCCAAAGGTTGGCACACCAACTCGGAGCAGTTGTTATTCTATTGATCCATTAAACAAGCTTAAGGTAATATTGAATATCTTTAATATTTTGAATATCTGACATTCTACTTGTTATTAAGTCTTTTAATTTTTGATTTTCATGAAAATCCAAAACAAACAAGAATGATGAATTTTGAAAGTGGTGATCAATCTGCTGTAGAATTACAACCACTTCTTGTTGATGATGATACACTGCAGGAATTGGATTAATGCAAAAAATTGGTCAAACATATTAGAAACTTGGCATCCGATTTAGATTACATTGACGTGGACCTAGAGGATGCAATCTTCCATCATTTAGATGTGAATTTCATTCACGTGATGTTTGAAGATGTTAAAGATATGTTGACGATGAAATAGCTTGATGTGACCATATTACAAATAATTATAATGTAAGTATTTTTTATAATGTTTTTATATTTAAAAACTTTTCTTTAGTCTTTCATTTTTATTAATTATCTACATATGTTGTAGATATCTTCATCGGATGTGCGGCAAAATTGGAGTTACTACAATAGGATTTTTCTGCCCAATGACTATTTCTAGGGACTGTGTAGTTGAGGATACTGATAATGTCAAAAGATATTTTGTTCGTGCCCTGGGTCAACAGAGGGATCGAAACTTCATTTTAGCTCCGTACCATCAAGAGTAAGAAAACTAAATTTATATTTTTAATTATTTATATAACTTAATTGAATTATTTGTGAATAACGTTTAACATTTTTATTTAAATGTCGTAGAAATCATTGGATGCTTCTAGTTATTTGTGTTCAATCAAGAAAAGTCTATCTATTGAGAATTATTAACCATTATTGTAACACCCCGTGTTACAGCCATTAATCCAGGATTAATTATTTAATTAATTCCGTTAATAATAATTAAAAATGATTTCATTTGGTTAGGATTCCCTTTAATTAATTACTGTGGTCCTCCATGGATCGTGGACCATTCCCTAAACTAGAGTCTTAAGTCTATTAGGAATAAAGAGAGTGGACCTTCCACTATTCAGATTCAAATTAGGAATCCTAGACCTATTAGGAATAAAGATAGTAGGCCTTTACTACTAAGAGTCTAATTAGGAATCCTAGACCTATATACCTGTTAGGAATAGAATGTAGGTCTTTACTATTCAGACTCTGATTAGGATTCCTAACTCTATAAATAGGGGATTAGAAAGAAATTAGAACCCTTACCACCCATAGTTATATTACACGAAATTATTCCCAGGAGATTCCCCACCACCAAGCCTAGGGAGATCAATTGGATGGAAATCTTAGAGAAGAACCTTAATAGCCAAGGGAGGATTAATTAAGGCTAAGAGGTAACCCATGTCTCGAAAAAACCTATTTTCCTTGCTATATCTTATTCGTTGGCTTCTTTGATAATCGCATGTGTTATTCTATGATTGAGTCTTGATAGAGCCTTGCTTAGGATTTTATATTGTGCTTATTTGATAATCTTGATGTTCTTGATATTGTGATTGATTATATGTATGTTGTTGTATCTTAATTATGTCTAAAGCCCTAGGGTTTACATCGTGAATTTCGTATTATGAGGTTCTTGGTATATTTAGGTGTGATTATGCATGATCGGGTGTTGAGTCTAGCCTAGGACTTGTATTTAGGACTTTGTATTTAGATTCCTTGATGTTCCTGTGGTTCCGGATGCTCCTGAACCGTTATATGATTAATGTTGAGTCTTGGCATGTTTAGGAATCATGTTAGAACGTATTCAGTGTGATTCTTGATTTAATTTCGTTAATTGAATCTGTGGTGTTGTCGTTATGTGTTTGAATGTGTCTGGACATGGTTTCGGGTTCCACGAGAGATCCCGAGACCGAAAAGTTGCCTGTGAGTCAGTGGGGGGTAGGTTGGGGCAGGGGTGCCCGCCACCTACCCGCTGCCCGGAAGTACTGTTCCAGCGGGCAGGCGACTGCCCGCCGGGCACCCACTGGAACAGTGAGTCGCCACCGACGGGTGGTCTTCCACCCACCACTCACTCGCTAGATAGGGTGTGTGGTTCTTGATGTTTTTCTCCGTTTGTTGTTTCCCCGTGTCCCGTTGTACCCCATTTGTCGTGTATGAGTCTCGTTTGATGTTTTGAGTGACGTTCTAGGAATCTATGTGTAATATGTGTGGTTGTTGTTGTGTCTTGATTGTTAATTGATTGATTATGTGTTGATTGATTGGATGATGATGAGTATCATAGTCATTGCGCAATGGCTGGTGTGAATGATGATGATGATGAGACTGTGATTTGTGGAAATGAATTATTGGCGGCTAGCACCACTTGTGCCCGGTCATTGTACTAAATGTACAGGCCCTAGCGGTTACTGTGCTAAAGGTACAAACCCACCTTCGATTAGCTTGCCGTTGAGCATGGGTCATGTTATAAGTGTTGCGGTGTCATGTCAGAGCTATATGCGCTGACCCCTTAATATTGGCACTAGAGGTGCGGATCATGTGGATGGCACTGCGGCACCACCTTGATATTTTGGTGGTTGATAGGTGGTTTGTCGGTGGGGGCATGTAGTTGCCCAGAGGGATAAAGGGGAGGCGATATAAGGGTGGCCTGGTGGTATTGGTTGGAACTGATATAAGGACGGAGGGGAGCTACAAGGTTGGAACTTGGTATAAGGATGGAAGATGTATTGTGTGCTTTGTTGATTACTTGCTAACTATCTTGAATGCCTTTGTTGCCTCTATTTGTTATTTATATGCTTATCTGTCTGTCATGTCTCCCAAAATGTTCTTAGGACCCATTATCGTGTCTTGAGTCTTGATCTTGGATTTAAATTAGAGTCGTAAGTTATATATGTATTCCAATTTCAAGATGATTTTCTTTTATCTACCTATATTGTACTTAATGCGTTGGAGTGGGTTACCAGCATTATTCGCTGACGGTTGTTACACTAAATGTTTTTTAGGAACAGC